TGGTGGTATAATATGTAGAAATTTGAGTTAAATTATAAATAAATGTACTACTGAAATTTTTTTATCACGATAAGCCAATATTTATTCTTAATACAGTAAAAGTAAAGTACGTAAATACCTGTAAAGATCAAGAAAAGCTCAAGCATGAAAATCTTCAGTTTTCTCGAAAATAAAATACAAAAAAAACTACCTGCAAGCTTGAAGATGAGTACAAACAGTTTTTCCTAAACCTGACCATATTTTGTAAATATTTTAAATTTGTCTCCATGTTACTTTTTTGCAGTATGATGGAATTCAATATTCTAAGAAAAGAAAATTACAAAAGAAAATATTTAAACCCGATCATTTCATGAAGGATAGAAATAAAAATTCCCAAATAATTTATTTCAGAAAGCATTCAATTTTAATTTTTATTTTTCATTTTCTTCTTCTTTTTTTGTCTCATAAAGTGTGCCCCATCCCCGAGCTACGGCCTGTCACCTTTTCATTACATTTCTATGAAATATTTAACTTTAGGATTATTTTTTTCCCTAAGCACAATAATAAAAATTGCATCAGGCCTTTAATTAAGATTTTTTATATGTTCAAAGACAATTTTTTATAAAACAATAAAGAGGTCTGTCTGGTTTTTAAAATGATAAGAAAGAAAAATAATTCAAAAGAATAAATAATCATTTAAACCATCCCTAGATGTCCCACAAAAAATTTGGGCCCGATCGGTTCAGCCGTTTTGACGTTTATTGGATACAAACAAACAAACAGACATAAAAACAGACAAGCCAAATTTATACATAGATGAATTATTATAAAAAATAATATATTAAAAAAGGCGAATACTTAATAATCCGTTGAACAACATAAATCCATCAACTTTCCCAGATTTAGCCGATGCAACAAAATAGATATTTTTCATGCACGCATGCATTTTTGAAATCATTTCCGGCAATTGAACAAAATATGGAAATTTGTTTTATTTGTTTACATTTTTACATATTCTGTATACGTGTACATATTTAGGGTTACCCACAAAGGATGCTACTTTAATGAAGACCTAAAACTCAGATAATTTGACGCGCTCTGAAGATTAAATTTTTTTGCCTTAGATTTAGTCATTAAATGAAAAAAAATACTGACAAGAAACATGAAACATAAGAAAAATACCGAGACAAAAATCCGTGCAGTCGTCTATGAATTCTCATTCTTTGGCGATAACCCAGTATATCCCTGAAAACATTAATTATAGTATAAATTGTATTTATGTTTCCTGTTTTGCTTGCTATACGAGTATATAATGTGTATCATATCTACTTGGACAACCGACAACGCTTCTCTCGTTTTTGGTTAGTTTTTCAGGGATTTGGACTATAAAAAGGCACTTCAAAAATACTGTGAACATTTCAAAACCAGCTAGCTGTATTCTTTTACCCTTGTATTTGTGTAAAATCTCGTGTGAATCATGTATATTCGAGTATACGCTCGGACGTATATCCCTACATTATCCGTACATTATCGCACGTTTTCCCCTATATTCTATAATCGTACATTTCCTGTATTTGCATATATGATATTATGTGCAATATGCATTTATGCAAGTAAACCATGAATAATGAATATATTGAAATGACCCATGAAAAGTATAAACTCCATGATGTTAGTGTATAGTGTATACTGTATCAGGGTTGGATTGCATGATATTCAAGTTTTCAACCAGAGACCGCAGGGTTGTAATAATCCAGCTCAATGTATCCAATTTGACAGGATGTTTTCTGCTCCTGGTACTAGGTGTCCCGGAAAGGATGTTTTCTGCTCCTGGTACTAGGTGTCCTGGACAGGATGTTTTCTACTCCTGGTACTAGGTGTCCTGGAAAGGATGTTTTGTGCTCCTGGTACTAGGTGTCCCGGAAAGAATGTTTTCTACTCCTGGTATTAGGTTTCCTGGACATGATGTTCTCAGCTCCTGGTACTAGGTGACCTGGACAGGATGTTTTCTGCTCCAGGTACTAGGTGTCCCGGACAGGATGTTTTCTGTTACTGGTACTGGTGTCCCGGACAGGATGTTTTCTGTTACTGGTACTGGTGTCCCGGACAGGATGTTTTCTGCTCCAGGTACTAGGTGTCCCGGACAGGATGTTTTCTGCTACTGGAACTATGGTGTCCCGGACAGGATGTTTTCTGCTCCTGGCTCTAAGTGTCTTGGACAGGATGTTTTCTGCTCATGTTAATAGGTGTCCCGGACAGGATGTTTTCTGCTCCTGGTACTAGGTGTCCTGGACAGGATGTTTTCTGCTCCTGGTACCAGGTGTTCCGGACAGAATGCTTTCCTCCCTTTGTTCTTAGTGTCCGGACAGTATGATCTCTCCTTCTGTTTCTGGCTGTGTCTAGGACAGGATGTGTTTTGCTCCTGGTCCTAGGAGTCCCGGACAGGATTACTTCTTCTCTTGATCCTAGGAGTCCCGGACAAGATTACTTCTTCTCTTGGTCCTAGGAGTCCCGGACAGGTTTCTTAAATAATTAAGATCACATAATCATAAGACTATTCTAGCTTTAGACCCAACAAGATTTTCAATGATAATTTAATCCTTCCTCCTGTAGTTTTAAGACAGTTATCCCGGGGATTCTTAGAATTTGAGTTGGACGATTTGACTCATTCTAGGCCTTAAACCACGTAGAACATAAACTCCTATTCACGACTCACAAGATAAGTTATGAATAAAAACATAAAAGATTTCAATTTAACGTGCAATTTGACGTGCTGTGCATTGAGCAGGTCTGAGGTTGTTTTAAATAAAAAGAGTTTAAAAAAATGAAACAAATGGAAAATAAAAATGTAGTTTATTTATGTTTGAATTCCACAAAGATCCGGTGGAACCAACTGCATCGTTGGTTTACACAAACGAGAAGATACAAAGTTAAAAGATACAATTTTAAAGGTTCAGTAGGCGTAATTTTAAGTAATCCTTCATTTATAGAGTGCCATGTCCGATTCACAACGGTACCCTTAAAAGCTTTGTCTGGTCAGTAGAATGAGAAAGAAAACCATTTTGTTTTTATGTTTTCGTCTTCATGTAATTTCGAATAAACTAGTATAATTTACTTTATACCTAGAAAAGAAAAAAGATCATATATTTTTATATTTTTATTTTTTTGAGAAATCTCATTTTGATACCCACAAAAAACTGTGGAACATTTAATTAATCAAATGTGTATTTGATCGTGAGAGCTACCATGGTAGATTCAAAAGTCAACTTATCAAGGGAAATGGGTCTTTGTGCACTGCTCATTGCACAATTAATGTGTTAGATTGTACTATCTAATATAATATTCTACATTTTTATAGGTTCCAAGGTTGTATAATGTATGTTATGCAACCTTAACAAAAACTGTAAGAAAAGATGCAAAACTTTAAGCCTATTTTGTAGTTTTAAAATATTAACTATATTCAAAAACATTGTACACCTAGTGACCAAGTGCTTAAACAACAAGTTTAGTGAATATCGATCTTTGTTTCTTAAAATCATATAATCTAAGTTCATATTTTACTCATTTTCATAATTTGAAAACATTTGAAGTTAACATATCTGGCTGGGACGCAATCACATGTCAGATCTTGATATTTTTAAAGAAATAAATTAGATGCATTGAACACACACATCCAATTCTGATAGAAACAGCCCGGATACCCTCCCAATACAGAAGATACTCTTAGTGATTGAACTAACTATTCTTTCTTTATCCTTAATACCCCATCTCTCTATTCTTTCTATATCCTTAATACTCCGTCTCTCTATTCTTTCTTTATCCTTAATACCCAGTCTCTCTATTCTTTCTGTATCTTTAATAACCAGCCTCTCTATTCTTTCTTTATCCTTAATACCCAGTCTCTCTATTCTTTCTTTATCCTTAATACCCAGTCTCTCTATTCTTTCTTTATCCTAAATACCCAGTCTCATCTCTATTCTTTCTTTATCCTTAATACTCAGACTCTCTATTCTTTCTTTATCTTTTTAATACCCCGTCTCTCTATTCTTTCTTTATCCTTCTAATACCTCGTCTCTCACTTCTATCTCTGTTCCTATACCTCCTTTCTACTCTTCCTAACCGCTCTTCACCCTTCTTGACGTATCTGCCCTTCCTAACCTCACTCTTCCTTTCTTCTCTCTCTCTCTTCCTAACCTCACTCTTCCTTCCTAACCTCTCTCTCACTTCCTAACCTCACTCTTCCTTCCTAACCTCTCTTTACCCTTCCTAACATCTCTCTCCCCTTCCTAACCTCAGTCTTCCTTCATAACCTCTCTCTACCCTTCCTAACCTCACTCTTCCTTCCTAACCTCTCTCTACCCTTCCTAACATATCTCTACCCTTCCTAACCACTTTCTACCCTTCCTAACATCTCTCTACATCTCAAACCTTCCTAACATCTCTCTATCCTTCCTAAGATCTCTCTAACCTTTCTAACATCCATCTTCCCTTCCTAATCTCTCTCTACCCTCCCTAACCTATCTCAATCCTTCTTATCCTCTCTCTATCCTTCCTTCCTTCTCCTCCTGGTTAGTTTTCAGTTCTATCCTTCCTATCCTCTATTTTCACATTTGCTACCCTCTTTCATTCCCTTTAAACTAATTCCATCCATCTAGATATGGAATAAAGTCAACTTCATGGATATTTTCAAAATTCAATTTTTGATTCTAAAATTTCTAATGTTTTTTCTCCTAATTTCTCTAGGTTTCTGTGCATGAAGTGCATAAAAATAATGTATATTTTCCAACCAGGTTTAACTGCATTCATAAAGAGATAGGTATAAACTTTTGGATAAAAAAATATAAATCATCTTAGTATTCCCCATTTTAAAACTTTTTACATTTGGAGGATAGTTGTAGATTATATATGAATTAATTTATAAATCAATTTTAATTAATGGGAAAGGGTTGATAGAGGAACTTTAAAAAATCCTACAGTCTGTACTACATTTCTAATCTGGACTCTTGAACAAGCATTTCATATTATAAAATAAATATTTATATTTTGGGTGCAAAAAATCTCATGATCAAACACATGCTTCATAATCTACCCCCTTTGATTACACTATTCATAGGGAGAAATGATAAAGTTTGATTTTTAAAAGTTTGGTTAATTTATATACATATGCAAATAATAAGATATACACGGTATACATACAATATTTACATTATTAATATTAGAAGACTCCAAAATGTCGTCTTCTAGAATACTTGCTCAGGTAATCGGATAGTACTGTAGTACGGTTCTGTTGACACTATTAGTTCTTCTAAAACCAGATCTTTCACTCCAACGCAATTCCGCCTCCATCTTTAACAATCCTTGTAACCACAGCTTTCTTGTACTTTACTAGGTTAGGTTTGGTATGGATTGTTTTCCCGCGTCTAATCTCGAAGGAAAAAGCGACTAGAAACCTCGTCTGTTCTACGATTTCTGAGCGTCATAAATCGGTTTTGAAGCTGTTGATAGTGTTTGCGAGTTGGTTGCTCCAACAGCAGCTGTAGATGGCGAAGGAAAAGTTTATCGTTTAGGAACAATCGGAGAGATGGAGAATTGTTTTTGCTGAAAAAAAAAAAACATTTTTAACAAGCGAATAATTTGTTATTCTATTTTACATGCTTTTATATCCTTCTCGCTATCCTTGTTAACTTATATGAGTTCCACATGTGAAATGAAAAATATAATGGAGATACTGCAACTTCAAATTCATTTGATGAAAAGAATAAATTAATAATCACATATTACAGTTGCCCCTATCTCAAGAAATCATATATAAAGGGGGAGGGAATGTCTGATAGGCATACAACGTACATACCTTAGAATTACATCGATGGCTTCATTGAGGTCTGCATTCTTATCTTTAGAACCCTGAAGTGCATCAAGCTTAAGCCCCCAACCTCCTCCTTTAGAACCTCTAATTCCTCCTCCTGCTCCTCTTAGGGTTGCAACGTCTTGTGCTGCTCTAGGTGCACCTACTGTCAGATCTGCTGTCTGAAAATATATTTTATTTTGATTTTCTACTTTTTTCAATTATTTTTACCATTAAGAAAACTTTTTAATGTTTTTTTACAATATTTACAAATAAGAGAATATTTCGGTGGTTAAAATGCAGAAAAAAAACCCAACTTGATAATTAACCTGTTCAACTAGATTAGTCGATATAGTTCAATCTTTAAATACTGGAAAATATTTAAGTTTAAACTAATCATGGGAACAAGCTATACAGACGCGCGGTTTGTTCTCACAAATGAAAATCTATTTGAATTTAATATTTGAATAAGTTTGAAGATATTATATCATACACATAGAAAAAATAGTAAAAGCTGGGCTGGCATATATTCTTTGATATTTAAAGATTTTAAGAAAATCTGGGATAGGGAAGTATGGGATTTAAAAAATGTTTTTATTTGAAATTTTAAAGAAATTGTTCAGGAAAAACCCAGTTCTCCTTTCTCAGGGTTCATTGCTACCCTTTATTGATAAATATACTGACGTCACAAGATACACGTGTACATAAATTCATAATATTTGATTATGTTTCCATTTTTGACCTGGATCATTGCAGGGAAGCTTTCCATATTTATAACAGCATAAATTAATTTTCGGGCAAAATAACTTGAAAACTTGGTTTTCAGAGCCGGAAACTTATATCGCCAGATCTAAGACACAAAAGTTTTGCCCTCAGGTAAATATTTTTTTTGTTCATCAGCTTAGAAGGAGATGAACTTACGCTTCATATGTTTCATAAATTTTAGAGTGTCATTAATCTAAATCTTCAAATGACGTCAGCTCTCACTTTAGATAATTAATTTTGTAACGCGGCATCGTGCTACAGCCATATTTGAAAATATTCACGCCATTTTGTTGGATTTTCCCACTAAATCTTATGATTATTATAAAGAAAAATCAAAAAAGGGACAATTGAATATTGCAGGATACGTTCTTTTATATTTGGTGTTTGTTCTTAAAAGATTCTATTTTACAAATTTTTAACTTGAAAATTAGTTTTTTAAAATAGATTGTTTGCTGTTGCTCACTTCTAGTGCAAAATAAACCCGCAATAAAACATAATTGTGTTTTATTGCGGGTTTAAGCCGACTTACCCAGAACTGAAATTTTAAACAAAATCTTAATTTTCTAAAATATATTTAAAAGGAAATGCTGAGACATCAATTAAGATAATTAAAAGTGAAGCCGCCCGGGCTCAAAGTAAGGGGAATTTACAGGCTATCCAAACTCCATGTTCTTTGTTGTTGAGAACAGGCTCTATGTTCTTTAAAGTCAGAAAAATTATTCTATGTTCTTTGTAGTTAAGAACAGGCTACCTTTATGTTCTTTGTAGTTATGAACAGGCTACCTTTAAATTTAAGAACGAGATAACTTCATGTTCTGCACAGTTAAGAACAGGCTATCTTTATGTTATTTAAATTTAAAAACAGGATAACTCTATGTTCTGCACAGTTAAGAACAGGCTACCTTTATGTTCTTCACACTTAGGAACAGGCTAACTACGTGTTCATTGTAGTTAAAAACAGGCTACCTATATGTTCTTTGAATTTAAGAACAGGCTAACTCTATGTTCGTTGTAGGTAAAACCAGGCTAACTTTATGTTCTTTGAATTTAAGAACAGGCTAACTCTATGTTCATTGTAGGTAAGACCAGGCTAACTTTATGTTCTTTAAATTTAAGAACAGGCTAACTCTATGTTCATGTAGGTAAGAACAGACTTCCTTTATATTCTTTAAATTTAAAAACAAGATAACTCTATGTTCTTTAAATTTAAAAACAAGATAACTCTATGTTCTTTAAATTAATGAACAGGCTAACATAATGTTCTTCATAGTTAAGAACAGGCTAACTCTCTGATCTATGAAGGGTATGTACTATGAATAAAAGAAGAAAAACAATTTAGATTAATCGAGCACTCAAGTTCAAATTTGCTTGTTAATTGCACTTCATTTGCAAACAGTAAATTTAAAGTACATTTGCAGTTCACAACACAACTGAATAATATCCCTGTTTTAATGAGGCCTAATCAACACTATGTAATAACACTAAATACCAGGCCTAGTGGAGAAAAAGCATGAAATGGGTAAATATTTGGGAGGACCCGGATACATATTAGAGTTTTGAAAACCCATCAAACACAAAAAGTTTATTTTCAACAATATTTAAATGTTTACTCTCATGAACCCGAAACATGTTTAGAACAAAATATATTTTCTTGTTTTAAATCTGCATAGAAAGAGTATTAACTCACCAATGTAACTAGCAGAAAAGGTAAAATCAGCAGTGAGATGCATTTAGGACACGCTGTTAACTCCATGATCCGTCCTTTGCTGAGCTCTGTGAGAAACTAACCCGGAGAGTCGCCGCTCTGTCTGTTCCTCTATACCCGGAGCAGGGTTATATATATACCTACTCACTACACTCTCTGAGAAACCGAACAAACTTTATTTTACGATACTAAGTACTGCTCTATAGGTCACCCGGTGTTATGTGCAGAGTGATGTCTTTCTTGCTCAAGGTGTGGTTGAAAACTAATTAGGAGAATGGAACCTCAGAGCTTATAATAACTGGATCCATGAGGCGCGGATACAACCTCTGAAACCCGTCCCGCTTCTGGAACTCATAAGATTCTTTTAGAAAATTAAAGAATTTTCTCTGCTTGATTTTAATCAAAACAAAACTTATTTTTCTAACAAACAGGGTTGCTCAGAAGAAAAAAATACAAATGTGGTTTTTAACTGTCTGGGTTAAAATATAATAAAATGATGTCTAAAGGCAAGCTTAATAAAGTTTAAGAGAAACCCATCCTGATATTCTGGTGGATTAAACACATCCTTGATGAGTGACCCCGTAGCGGATATAAAAACAACTTCAAGTGCAACCCATATTCATGCTCATCCCCCAAAGTACGTCTTCTAATCCTAATCAAAGTAAATAGGCCTCTTGAACTATATGTACTTCCTAATGATTAAACATTCGATATGGTTATAAAATACCGATATTTGCATATTTTTCTAACGTACGCATGTTAAAACATTGATTTATGGAGTTGAAAATATTTTAAAATGTATAAACAAAACAATGAGAAACCGAACCTAAATTCATAATTCAAGGATAAATTTTCTTTCTACGAGCATTTTATAAAGACGAAAATGCTAATATTAAGAATTAGCAATGCAATATGCAAAAAAAAGGAATTATAAACTTTTAAAAATTGTTACTTTTTACTAATCTACTACTAAATTTAATAAAATGACTTTAAAAATTATACTTTTACAGGTCTATTAATATTTGAACAAACAATGCAACTTGGAGATTCATAAATTCAGAAAATATACATTACGTAAATATATGGACGTCTGGATCATGATGCACATTTTACAAAGTACATAATTGTTTGAAAAAAAATCTTTCCGATAGAAATGTTAAGGTAATGACAACATAGTATTCCTATTTCCCCGCTAAAAATTGTGCAGACATCAGCTTAGATTTAGTTTATTTTTAAGATTGAGGAACTCCTGGAATGCCCCGCACAATTCTCAAGGAATTCTTTGCGGAACAGAAAGTGCATGCCCAGCGATTCTTGAGCGCTCAAATACATGAAAATATTAAACACATAACATGTTCCATTAAAGAAACAATTCAGACACGTAAGTTGAATTGTGAAGTATTTATTTTTAAATCATAATTACAATAAACGATTTTTCTATATTCTCCTCCCCTAACTCGTTCTAGCCACAGCGGTCGGCCCTCTGTAAGGAAGCCTTTATTGCCATGGGAGACCCAGTCCAATCTAAAAATTAAATACTAACAGAAAATCAGTATTTGTATACAAAAAGAACACAATTATGAGAAAAATGTATGCAATCAAAAGCGAATTTGCTCTAGTAGAAAGTGTATTCCTAGACATCATCATATCTTTGCAATAATCTAAGTTTATATCACCAGGTTATATAGATATAGGGATTAGAAAATCAGAGTTTGTGGTAAAAACTCCTTTCTAACTTGGAAAAATATTACTGATCCATTTTTTGATGTTTGCATAGAAAATGAGTAGATTCTAAAATATTCTAAAAAAAGTCCAGACTTGAAGGTAGTGTTCGCGAAAAATGCGATAAAAAAATATCAAAGGACAAGGTTTTGCGATACCTTAAAGTTGACCCAGTCTTGAAAATTGATGCGAATTTTAATAGTCAGTCAAAAGCAAAGTTCACGAAGAGCCCTTAAAGGACTTGAATTCTTGTCTTCAGGAATGTATTTGAAAGAAAAGTACAAAAGTGCAGAACTAATTACAGGTTCCTATTCTCACCACACCCGTTGCTCTTTGCTCCAGTTAGGAACCGGATGGATCTGGAAGGATCTAGAACTTGACTCTCCAACCTCTTTGGGAACCTGAAGCAATTCTTTTGCATGATCTGAGAAGAAGTGTCAATCTGAACCTAATCTCTGGATAATGTTAATGGAAGGAAAGATAATACCGGCGCCGTCTAGATGCAGGGGATAATATAACATGTTTTCATCATAATTTCTAAGGGGAAAAATGTTATAAAAAAATAAAACATGTTTAGAGTAAAATTCAGAATTGTTTAAGTGAAGATCACTTTTAAAGTTTTTTATAACGTCTATTTTGAAAGATTTGTTAATTTTTGATTGAAAAACAGGACTTGCTTCTTTCATAAGGTTGCAGGCAGAGGAAAACAATAAACTTTAATGGGGGGCTCTTTAAAAATGAGTTTGGCAAAATCTAAGACGTTTTTACGTTTTTTATCTTTAATAAATCGACTATTTTTTATTTGCATGCATCTTAAACTACATAGTACATATAAAGTATAAAATAACTAAAGAAATAATAAAAAAATGTTTAAATGATAGTTTGTATATCACTAATAATATTTCCCACAGAAGAGGATGAGTCCTAGTTTTAATTTTAAAAAATTGTAAGTATGTCACTCCTTTTATCCTCTCAGAGCCCGTTCTCTCTATAGATAATGGTCGTGTAGTTCACGTACTTTGGGGGGATGATATGTTGGCCGCTAGATATGTTTCATGCTAAATTCTTATCTGATAGATGGATATTTCTCCGTACACTTGACGACCAATATAGGAACGTCAAGTTGTCGACCAATGTATTTTATGGAAGGAACGACCTCAGATATTTGCCCACGACAGTAAACAAAAATACATTTTGCGTCTTCAATAAGTTGGTGCACTGCTGAAACCTGGTACGGAGACTAATGACGCTTCTAATTTTACGCCGGTTCACTCCTAATGCGTCCGTACAACTTTTGAACAATTTGATCACATATTCTCCTTTTTACCTCTTTGGCCCCCTTATTGCAATTTTACGATACCTTTATCCCACTGAACCCAGCATTAGGGCCTCTTCATCTTACTGAACCAAAACCCTTTCATTCTAATGGACCCCAACCATATGGCCACTTCATTTAAATGAACCCCCAACGTTATGACCCTTTCATTTTTATGTACCCCAACCTTATGTTCCCTTCATTTAATTGGACCCCAACCTTATGATTTTTCCATCCTAATGAACCCCAAACGTAAAATCCCTTTTGTACTAAACACTGAACCTTATGGCCCTTTCATTTAAATGAACCCCAAGCATATGGCTTCTTCATAAAAATCATAAAAACCTCTAATGTCATGGCCCTTTTCTTTTTATGTACCTCAACCTTATGGCTCCTTCATTTTATTAAACCCCAACCTTATGGTTTTATTAACCTAATGAGCCCACAAACCCACAAACATGGCCTCTCATTACGATGGACCCTAACTATATGGCTCCGTCATTCCGATGCACTCCAACCAAATGACCCCTATGTCCTATTAATCCACCAACCTTATGGCCCCTTATCACAAACAATGAACCCCAACCTTATGGCCCTTTCTTCCCAATGAACCCCAATCTCTCGATACCAATTAATCCTAAAGTACCCCTACCGTATGGCCCTTAATCAGAACGAACCCAAACCTCTCTATATCCCACCCTTTATTTTTATTTTTGTCTTTGAATATTAATTTATATTTGATAAAAGAATCAAGTTTTTCTTGTTGTAAAATGATGCTGTCATTTATGCAAAGACTTTACAAACCAAGACTACTTTTCCTCCCCTCTAGGCTTCTCGGGATATTATAGTAAATTAATCCCTCTGTAGAAAATGTGTCAAAATTTAAAGATTTAATATGTCTAGATGTTGCGTTTCTTTTCAACCTTTATTATGTCTCTGTATTATTTTGTCTCTGATTTCAAGTTTGGTACTTTTTGACACCGCTATGAGGAAAAATATGCTAATTAGAACCAGAAGCCAGGGGGTAAACATTTTCAATATTATAAAATTATCATTTTTCGAGGATGGTGGGTGGGTGGATCTTGAAAATCGGACATAAACCGGCACAATTTTCCCATTTTTATGCTAGATATTACCCAAAATTTCTTTCTTTCTTTTTGAACTCATGGATAAAAAACCCATTCTTAATAAGAGAGGAGGAGGGGGGGATTTTTAAGGGAAGTGATTTTTCAACAAAAGAAACCCCAATGTCAAATTTTATGATTTGATAATAAAATCAAAGTACAAAGATCAAGAATCTTTACAAAAAAAATAAAATTTGTAAAATAATTTTTGCAATATTATTACGAAGGTCGGACCAAAGATTTATCAAAGACAAGACAATTAAAATAAATCCTTGTTTATAAAACCAGAGAAAATACTACTTTCGCTATCTAACTCATATTTCACAGAAATTCACAAAGTTGTGAAAATTATTCACAAAATAATAAGACGAGGAAAACATTGAAGTTTTACCAGACTTTAACCCTTGGTTCTCACCTTTCAAGCCAAGGATATAAAGGTTTAAAAGCTGAAATGCCTGTTACTATATTTCGCTTTGAAGAATCGATTCTCGTGTAAGAATGAGACGGGTTTCAGAAAGCTTGAGCTCAAGGTTTGAAATAAAGCGGAAAGGGACTAATTGTAATTTCAAGTGAGCCTCCATTTGCAGAAAGGTATGTCAGATCCCCACAAGTATTTTTTAAATCCTTGACTGATCATTCAGTCATGTATGACAGACTTATCCTAATGTTATATTTATGAAGTGTTAATATTTACTTAAAAAAAAATTGCTAAAAAATAATTATTTTTAATTGAATATTTTAAAACCATGTTGGACACAGAGTATTCTGGATTTTCAAGAATAATACAATAAATCCCGGATATATAAATACATAGCAAGAGTTTTTATAATGTCGTATTCTCAACATATTTAAGATAAAATGCCGCGAAAAAACGAGTTTTTCGGTAATTTTAACACAATTTTAGAGATAAAACCACGGAGTTTAGTCAATTATCAGTCCAAGGGTACTATCATAAATCATCATAAATCCTTACATGGAGGGTCACTTGAAATTTCGCTTACAGTCCCTTTAAACCAACTCGAGGACCTCTGTTGTTCCATCTCTAAAATCTCTGCTTCTGAATATATTCAATATGTTGGAATTCAAGATATAATAACATATTTATTTAAAGAATCTGTTTTCAAATCTAGTAATTTTCCATATTAAACATTTAGCTTGACAATCATTTATCATATAAGCTGGGCTGAGAAGCATATTTGCGTTTTTGAAACAATTTATACTGCATTGCATTGCATGAAAAAAATTGCACATTCATATAAATTAAAACGTATAAATATAAATTTACAACACACACATTTCAAACCTTTAATTAAAATGCAATTTTTTTATTTGGAAAACTCAGAACGATAAGAAACTTTAAGCTTAATTTATTTTACTGAGAGAAAAAAGATATATTTATACTTATTTATATAATCCACCAAATCTCAGAAGTATGAATTACGCAATTTAATATTTTTTCATGAAAATTCTAAACTAATCACACAGATGTTGAAGAAGAAAATAAACTCGAGAAAATTCACAAAATGCTACTTTTTCAAAAATTTTTAAGAGTTTAAACATTTTTATACAAAGTGAAAACCTGCAAACATGCACAAACTCTAACAACTAAAATTTGGTTTTGATAGATATTAAAGAAAAAATTTGAAATAAAAATTTGATTTTTATTTTCCTTTTTTTTGATAAATCATTTCTCCTGTATAGTGGACATTTATCTGCAAATGTTNATTTTAAATTTGAATTTCCCGGGAAAATCTGAACCAATCAGAGAAAAGGATTTACGGAGAATATTACATAACCATCGCTAATCAGCTGATTACGTAACCGAAAACAAAACATATTTCGAGTTACAACCGTATTTTGGGTTTACATGCAAAAATATTTAACCTCACGGTTAAAGTTCAGGTTTAAATTAAGTCAGAAGTGGCATTTAACCATGAACTTAAAATTTAAGTTAAAACTTTTTGTTCTTTAGTTTTAGACTCTGGTCTTAATATTTTGCGTAATTTTCATAACTGTTTAAATTCATGTGTGAAGCAGAACTAAATGTTTTCAACCTCAAGAATAACAATGCATTTAATACAAACGTTTTAAACCACTTTTCTTTTCCTTCTTATTGATATTTATTAATAAATTCTTAATCCTGATTTGGCTGCTTTGAACAGGAAAATTCCAATTCTAGGAATAGAATATTTTTAATCCTGTTTCAGAACCATGCCCTGATCATGTATTTAAAACAATATTAGAGCATATCAACCTCAACCGTGGGACAAACTTAAGATCGAAATAAAAATAATTTTTGAAAGGGTTGTGATTGAATTTTTCGTAAGAAAAAATATAAATTATATAAAACTTCTCCCTCTAATATTTTTTTCAATTTTATCTCCACCCTTACTTATCTATATAATAAAGCTCCTTGCTCATATATATATATGTATATTATATGTTAGCTATAGCTGGCCTAACAGCTGAGCCAAATTGACTAAAATATTTTGAGGAAATCCATTCGAGTTCGAATATTTTTTTCTTCATAATTAGATTTTTTCGTTTGCCATGGGCAACGCTGGGCTTTTTAGTTAGCATTAAATATTATTTCTTGTAGCTTAATTTTCAAGTTTTGTCATTTATTCACTCAAACTCCTTTTTTATCTTAAACTTCATCAAAAATTCATTAAATCTTGAAAATTCAGTAAACAATCTACTCAGGTAGTTCTTGGTTTTTCATCTACAAGCAAGAAAATTGCCAAGATTTTCCTATTCATTCCAGACAGAAAACCGACATTTTGGGCCAGTTATTTTTCAGATAAAGGTTGAGGTAGTGGTAGAGGGGTACAGTGCTAGAGGGGTACTGTGGTACAGTGGTACAGTGGTATAGGGGTACAGTGGTACAGTGATACAGGGGTACAGTGGTACAGGGGTTCAGTGGTACAGTGGTACAGTGGTACAGTGGTACAGTGGTACAGTGGTACAGTGGTACAGTGGTACAGTGGTACAGTGGTACAGTGGTACAGGGGTACAGTGGTACAGTGATACAGTGGTACAGTGGTATAGTGGTACCGTGGTACAGTGGTACAGTGGTATAGTGGTACATGGGTACAGTGGTACAGGGGTACAGTGGTACAGTGGTACATTGGTACAGTGGTACATTGCAGGTACAGTGGTACAGGGGTACTGTGGTACAGTGGTACAGTGGTACAGCGGTACAGGGGTACAGTGGTACAGTGTTACAGTGGTACAGTGGTACAGTGGTACAGTGGTACTGTGGTACAGTGGTACAGTGGTACAGTGGTACAGTGGTACAGCGGTACAGGGGTACTGTTGGGACTAAATAGTCACTTAGGACGAAATAATGCAGTCTCTGCTTTGGGAAAAATTCTTATCTAAAAAAGTCTATGGGCGCGGAGCTTTAATAATTTCTATTGATCCGATGCAAATCTACGATGAAAGGCCTAACCCTGGAGTTGGATCAGGGTTGTAATTATATAAATTATATAAATAAAGAATACAAATAGAGAACTGCGGGTACAATGCAATGTTTTTACAAGTAGCAGAGAACGGTATAATTATATTGATTAATTTAAATTATAGGATTAGACA